CCAAATTTCATTACTCTAGTTGTAATAGTTTTCGAGTTATCGTGTTCACAGACAGACATAATTCCAAAATTGTGTTTTTGGACTCAGGGAGGTTCAAAACGTGGAGATTCGTCAAAATCTGGAGTTCGAATTTTTTGACGATTACAATACTTTCTCTTTGTATACTTCGTATATGAGAAACTTAAAAAGAATCTTAAGGCCTCGAGGACCTCAAAAGTTGCGGGGGCAATAGAAAGTTGCCTTTTTAATAATCCGACCCTGTCTCTATCGTAAAAATTAATTGGTGGAGGAGATATTAAGAAGCTTTTTTTATGTTTTCTGTGCTTTTTCTTCTAATGTGGCATAAAAACCGTACAAGTGGCGGCTCGTCAGCTCAGAAACAAGCAGTGCTTCAAACGTTGTACAGACCTAAGTTGTAGGAAATTTTGTGCTGATTATTTTAGTAGGCAATAATTATATACTAAAAATTTATAGTTTTTGAGTTATAAGCAAAAACTGGGAAAAACATTTTTTTCATATTTTTTTGGCTATAATTAAAATTACAATAAAAATTTTTGGTGGCAAACCTCAGATTCCTGATCTCCTCTAGAATTTGATTTAAAAAACTACTTAATGACTGAATTACTGAGAAAAAGGGGAAAAAAGCCAAATGAGAAAATCGAGATTTTTTGAAAACGCAGCAGAAGGACATCTAATTGCAATGGGAGAAAGGATTGCTTTTTTCCCCGACTGAATTTTCCGCGTTGCTCATTGAGCGAATTTTGATCTTTAGGAGAGATAAAACTCTATGCAGCTCTGGTCTGTCTCTCTCTCAATTCTTGATTGATTTTCCGTCTTAATTTTACGTTTTTACTTTCTCAAACTATATAAATTCCTTCTATACAAAGAGAAAGTATTGTAATCGTCAAAAAATTCGAACTCGAGATTTTGACGAATCTCCAATTTTCAGACCTCCTGAGTCCGAAAAACACAATTTCGGAATTATGTCTGTCTGTGTGTATGTGAACACGATAACTCGAAAACTATTAGAGATACAGGGATGAAATTTGGTATGTGGTCTTTAAACATAATTTGTAGGTTTCTATCACATTTTGGACAAAATCCGTCAACGGGAAGTCTGCCTGTTTGTATGTCCGAAGTCATGTGGACCCTATAACTCAAAAACTTGAATAGCTAGATGAATAAAATTTGGTACACGGTTTTATCGTCATGAATGTGGATCCGTATAAAATTTTGGGCCAAATCTGTCAAAGGGTTGACTGTCTGTCGGTCTGTATTATTTACTTTTGAAAAGAATCCGTTATCTCCACGCGCATGCGAAAGCTATGGAGCGAATTACGTCAGTTTGTCCTTGAGCCGGCAAGAGCGGAAAATCGGTACGCGTCTCTTTGAGTTTGATTCTTTACCTAGATATTTTTCAATCACTATAATGAAAATCCTTCTGATAGTCATTGGATTCTGGGTAACATTAGGTTCGAATTTTTTTAGCCACGCTGGGGAAGGGGAAACAGCACCTTTTTTGGGAAAGTATACGAGAAAGTTTAGGGGAGAACACTCCCGCAGGGATTTTCAGGGGGACTGCGGCTCTGCAGCTCTAATGGACGAGCCGCCACTGAACTGCACTATTATATGAATGTGTCTTCAAGATTCAATTACCCCGCCAGTGGACCTCCTCGAATACGAGGATACAAAATATGATCTTCATTATTCGGTTCCCGTTTCTTGGATAGAAATCGGCGCTCTTCAGTTTACGAGTCCGAAACTCTATCAGCCCGTCATAGTTTCTACTTGTGGGCTGCCTGGAATCCTACTTTGCGTTTCGCGGCGGCCGGCCATTCAGATGATTCCTTACATACATGCATGGTTTTAGTTTCCTTAATGTTCATCATGATTCATTATTTTCAAAAGACGGAATAAGAATTTATTTTTGAAAAGAAATAAATATAACGGTTGTAATAACTATTATTGAATCTAAGAGAATATTGTTTTCACAAAATAAACAATTATATTGCTGGAACAAGTAGTATGTAGCATAAAATCATCATGCAGTGGCCAGTCAGATATTTTCTAGGGGGTAACAGGATCGTATATTAATATTAAACAAAATCTGAAAATCTATCTATCATATTTAAAAATATGAAATATTTGTCAAAGTAAAAATTAAATTCTTTTTTTTTATTTGTTAGTATTGAATTTCCACCTCCAACTCGCAAAATAAAATTTCAAAATAAAATGTAAGTTTAGGTTGTATTTTTGTTTACAGAACGTATAATACAGTACATAAAATGCATTTTTTTCATGATATAATGTCCATGTTAGGTTAGGTTATATTAACATCCCGTTTTGAAGCAACACGAGGGCTATTTAGGGACGGACCTCATAATTTTGAACCGAGTTCAGATGACGAGGACGACACCTGCGCTGGCACTCCCTCTCCAAACTTCCGCGCCACACCAACAGGAGGGCGTTTGGCTACTACGTATGATTTAGCGTGCAGCGGGCCCCATACACGGCGGATCTTCGGTGGAATCGGGTTTCGAACCTGAGACCCTCCGGTCCCGAGGTCGAGACCTTACCACTAGGCCACTGCGGCCTGTAATGTGCAGAGATTGAATGTTTCTATTTTCCGTGCAATTTCTAATATTCGTTTGCATGTTAATAGTACTGAAAATATAAATCCGACTAACAAGCCGTAAACCTGGTGTGTAGTATGTAATATGCACTTGGGTTACATATGTGTATATGTTACATGCCTATGTATGTAACGTGTATACGTTGCGTTATATACGTAAAGTACATATGTATACGTTACATACGTACATATGAGTAGGTTACATATGTACATATGTTTACGTTATATACGTACGCATGTTACGTTCATGCATACGTACGTCACATTCATATGCACGTCCGTTACATACTTATATCAGTTACATGCGTATGTATGTAACGAATATACGAATATAACGAATATAACGTTACCTTATATACATAACGCATATACGTTACATTATATACATAACGTACATACCTTGCATTCGTACGTATGTACGCTCGATAAGTACATACGTTACATAATAAGTAGGTGCGTTATATTCATACATACACACGTTATATACATACGCACTTACATTGCGTTCGTGCATACGCCACATACAAACGTAGGTACGTTATATTCGTATGCACATTATGAATGTACGTTCATACATATGTACGTTACATTTATTCGCACGTTGCATATATACGTACATACGTTACCATATATACGCACATTTACGAACGTTACATGCATACGTACGTAAGTTGAAAATGTACGAATGTAAGATACGTGCGTAAGTTACATACATACGAACGTTATATACATTCTTAATACTTCACATACCTATGTACGTACTTTGCACGTGGCATATTATGTGCGTATACGTTAAATACCCACGTATGTGCGTACTTAGTACGTTAAATACTTAAGTACGAACATAAGTTACTTGCATACATAAATATACATATACAAAAGTATCTCTGCAGTCAGTAGTATCAATACATCTACATATTGCTTAAACGACATCGACTGGAACTATAACATAAATTAAGGAAAAAATTTGAGTTAGACAAAAATAAATCAGTAATCAGTGTGGTAGCCCCAATATTACAGTGCGCCACTTGATAGCAGAAATACATCGACCTGTTACTCGAAAGAAAACTATCGATCGAAATTGTACCAGAAATTAAATTTTGTATTAGCTTGCCGCCTACAGCTACCAGCTGTTCACCCGTAAAATTAATTGTCTGTGGCTATGCTTGTAACTTGGCGAAAAAAACTGGCGTTGGTAGAGGCTGATGGGTTCTGCCAAAGTTTTAATTTGCGATATATCTCGAAAATGGAGGGTGGTGATTGGTAGATGGAAATTCATGACATATCTAGACGTCATAAGCTTCCATATGAAATAAAAATTGTCGAAATTGGTTCAGTGGTTTGTTCTGGCCGACTCTGTCAAGGTTTTTGCCCATAGAGAATGTATAGTGGAGAAGTATTTTTTTCGATTTCTCTCGAAAATGGAGAATGGTGGAGGCAGGCGACCACTGATGACATATATAGACGTCATAAGCCTCCATATGAAATAAAAATTGTCGAAAGTGGCTCAGTGGTTTGGGCTGGCGAACCCTGTCAAGGTTTTTCCCCATAGAGAATGTATAATGGAGAAGTATTTTTTCGATTTCTCTCGAAAATGGAGAATGGTGGGGGTAGGCGATCACTGATGGCATGTCTAGACGTCATAAACTTTCACATGAAATAAAAATTGTCAAAATGCGTCCAGTGGTTGGGACTGAGGTGCTGGTCCTCTGGTGTTGCCAATTATTTTAAATATATAGATTATTAAATTATCCAAGATTAATTGAGAAAAGGAAAATTTTTAGTTATGGAAAAATACATCAATGAGCAATGTGTTATTATAAGTTAGAACACCCCCACTCTCATAATACACCATCTGCCAGTGGAGTCAAAAATTCTATGGACATTATTACTGAAAGGAAAACTATCGACTGAAAACGCTTCTATCGATAGTATTGTCCGAGAGAGAACTATCGATAGTTCTGAGAAAGTCAATACTACCGATTGTTTTAGTCGATAGTTAAGACAACCCGATCCTATTGACTTTGCTTCTGTAGCATCGATAGTCAGTCGATGGTTGAGGAACACTAGCACTGAACAAATTGTCCCCAAAAAGAATTACAATAGTATATAAGATTCACATATGAATAGCGAAGTACAGAGTGTTTCAAAATTTTCAGCATAACACAATTTGACCGTCATGCTGGAATCTTAGCAATATCTAAGGACGCAATGTTCTTTTTAAAATGAACTTTCGCTACATAAAATGTAACAAGAAACGATTTTCGGAATCAACGCATTCGTTTTCAAGAAATAAAATTACAGACTATACTTGTTTCAAAACGCAATTTCAATTTCAGAAACAGAGAAGGTGCGAAAAAAATAAGCGTGCCAGGGGCGGGATTCGAACCCGCGATCACATTTCGTGAGTCAGATTCCTAGCACTCGTTGATGCCTGAAACACGAACAAACCTCCGTTAGCTATTTAAGAACCCTTACCTTCCTCCTGAAACCTTGATTGAGATAATGAAACCCTGAGCCTAGCCCACTATCCCTCGCAACCTAGCTTCTTCGATGTAGTTTTCTCTTTTTCAAGCCGTGTAACAGACGTCAGCAAGCAACTCAGTTCTGATGCCATCACCACTCGGCCACCCTGGACAATGCCATCAGTTCTTGAATTACATTAAGTGCTTAGAATTTTGTTAAATTTACGAGTGTTACACCTGAAAGTTCTGACAATCCGTTTGACAACAATTTTGCTTATTCTTATACACTACTTTCCATCACATTTGACAATACTAGATGTGTTCTTGAAATACATTAAGTGCTTAGGATTTTGTTAAATTTACGAGTGTTACACCTAAAAGTTCTAACAATCCGTTTGACAACAATTATGATTATTCTTATACACTACTTTCCATCACATTTGACAATACTAGATGTAGAATTTAACCTTTAATAAATATAATGTTGTCATATGTTTCACCCCAGTCAGGTGTATCTTATTATTTATTTTCTTATTGATATTCCATGTGCTTTTATACTTTCCTGACTGGGTGAGCATTTGTAATATATGAGGATGGATCAAAAAAAGTTTACAAAGGTATTAAAAAATTATTTATTAACGTTAAACAGAAAATACTGAAGGGAATTAAGAGGCACAATTTCCGATGACTTTTCCACATAATCACCAAATCTATTTAAGTATTTATCTGAACACAGGATAAACTTATTTAACCCGGCTTGGCAGAAATCACGTCCTATACATCACAGTCTGAAGAGAACCTTGTTCCAGATAATTGTTTGGAACTCGGATTTGGTTTCGAATCTGAGGAGGTGGCTCCAGACTTCCCACTTGAACTCTCGCAGCAATTCTTGAGTTTTGCGAGCAGTATGGGTATTGCCATGCAGGAGGTTGATACAATCACTCAACATGCCGGGGCGTTTGCGTCAGAAAACTTCACGATGGCCCATTGATTATTTCCTTTATCCGAAATTTAAGGAACACTTATCTGGAACAAGGTTATCTTCAGAGAGTGATGTGAAAAACAGTTGCCGAAAACTGGCTCAATGGACAGGACGTGATTTCTGCCAAGCCGGGTTAAACAAGTTGGTCCCGTGTTCAGATAAATGCCTAAATAGATTTGGTGATTATGTGGAAAAGTCATCGGCAAGTATGCCTCTTAATTCCCTTATGTATTTTCTGTTTAATGTTAATAATTTTTTTATTACCTTTGTAAACTTTTTTTCCAATCCATCTTGGTAAAACCCATAGAAATCTAGATGTAAATAATTTCCACCTGAGTTTTGGGGAGTTGTATGTAAAATGTTTAGAGATTTATTAATTTTCGACATAATTACAGTAAAAATTCAGGCATTTTTCATGGTGGTGGAGATTTCCGATCCCGTCTTCTAAGAACGTTGCCGCCAGTGATGTGAGATGGGCGTTAATGCTGCTTTGAATCGCCTCATTTTTCTGGCAACTTTGGCCTCCGAGCCAGTTCTTCAATTCACGAAAGAGATGAAAATCACACGCCACTTAAGTCGGGGCTATACGCCAAGTGATCAGACACGTTCGATTTAAACTGCTCCAGATGCTGCTGGGACAGAACAGTACAGTAAAAGCAGGTGTTTTCATGAATAAGGACCATTCCAGAAGTCAGAATGGCTCTTCGCAGTCTAACAAAAAACAGTTGCATTGATTGTCTTCCCCAAAACTAACCTTCTGCTTGAAGAAAGCGAATAACACTACGAAACTCAGACTTGGCGAAGCATTAATTCTACCAGCCATGTTTATGTGCCGACAGTTCAAACTGGCCAGCTGGCGTCGGGAATAGTTGAGATTATGGTTAGAGACATGCGCAGTTACCTCACCTCCTACCACTTGTCTGCCTATTTAGCGGCTCGATCGAAGGTTAAAAAAGAAAACGGCCCTCGTATTTTAAAAATTTTGTCGAAATGTTGAGAAACTACATTCTAACATTTTTCTTTCTTTTTTAATTATTATAATTATTCAGTGTTCCTTATATCCATCTGATTTTCTATGCGTACGTACGGGATCGTGAAAATATCTTATTTGCGAGAGAGTTTTGGGGAATTCCTTTTGAAGTCAGAAAGAGCTCGCGAATTGAGAATTTTAATTCCTTCACATAAAATGGCGTGTCAAACTCGCACTCGAGTGACAGAATTTTTGATATTTAAATCTGTAATTAGATCTAAGCAACAATCAGTTTAAAAGACAAAAACCACTTAGATATGTTTAAAACCTTTACGTTCTTATATGGACTGAAATAACAATAAATATCCCAATCAGAAAGTTCATCTAGTTAGGAAATT